CAAAACCATATTATAAGGACCTCAAATGGATTTTATTTTTTTTAATATGCTCTTATTTCTCCATTTTAATTTTCATTCCTAATAGTACATTCAATTATCATTGCAGAAAATGTCTATTATTTGAATTATATTTAGTAAAATAACCCTTTGTTCCTTACTGTTCTCCTTGAAAGAAAAATTAGGTTTGTACTGTTTTTCTCTTGAGATTGGTCTCAAATGAAGAATCTGGTGTGTGGTTCAAAAGTGGTCAAAATTCTGGTTTGCAGGAATTAAATTAATTTAAAAAGCAGGAAACACCGCGGAAAATGAAATGTATTTTCAGCACAGAAAACAGTTTTCAGAATGGAAATCCTTCTTTGGGTATCTGGAAAGTGGCTCCTGATCAGCAGAAGAGAATAGAGCAGGTCTAATTCCAAGTAGAAGAATGATTGTTTGAGCCTTTCATGGCAGGAAAAGGAAAAATCACTACATGCTGCCCAGAGTTAAAATAAGAGTGATTTCATGGCAAAATATGATCCAAGGCCCTGCTCATCTTGACTGTCCTTTGTGGAAAAAAAAACAAAAACAAAAAACAAAACAAGAAACAAACAAAATGACATTTCTCTAATGCTTTGGAGAAAAATAGTGAATAATGTAACTGCTGGCACAATCCTCCCAGAGAACAGGGTGTGCCCTGCTGCCCTTTCCCTGCTGGTGCCCCTGTCTGCAGTGACAACACCCCCTCCAAAATGTGGGAGAGCTCCCAGGATCACACAGGCACTGTGTGAATCCCACACAATAGCTCATCCAAGACCTGAATGTTTTAAACTGAAGGTAAAGGACAGGCAACAAATCCAAACACATCTGTCTTACCCAACAAGATTTGAAATGGGAAAACAACATGAGAGATTCCATACATTACTCATTATTCTCTTAAAAATCCCAATTTTTCCCAGAATTATTTCCCCCCCAGCAGTGATCAGAACAGCACTGCAGCCCAGAGTTTGGGGAAGATGCAGATGTTGTAGTTAAACAACCCAAAGTCAGAGAAGCAGAAACATCAAGGGAAGAGACATCAAGAAGGGCTTTGCATCATTCCATCCAATTTTCATTGTAAAAATGTAAACTTAGGTCTCAAGTGTCTTATTAGGCAAGCTCAGCAAATGGGAAGCTTGAGCAAATGAGTTTCACTTTTGCTGGCTGAGATTGTTTTGGCATCTGGAAATATGCTTTGGATGATTGGAACATGGTTGGGAATTTGAATACTTTTTTTTTCCCCCAGTCTTGTAATAGCTTCCTTGAGAGATGTCTTCAGATTGTTGCATTTATATTACTGGCCTCAGATCATTTACATCTAATCTTCCAGTGCTGTTAACAAAAGCTGGGCAAGCATGTGCAAATGTAAATAACAATTTTTTTTAATGTGAAATCTCAGTTTAACTACATAACAGACTTCAAAGCAGGTTTAACATCAGCAGTGTCTGCCACACTGGTTATTAAACTGCTTTCTGTAAGAGTACAGCTTTAATTTATTCATGTGTTTTGGCTGCAGCAAAGCCCTGTTTCCCCCCTTCATACACTGAAACACTTTTTGAATGAAACTATTTCAGAAGTGAGGTGTAAGCCAGCACAAAGAGGAGCGAGTAGAAGAAATATCAGTGATGTCTTTGTGCCTCACCTGGCTGCTGTGATCTCTGAGGGGCTGGGTTCAGGTGTCCTGTTCCATCTCTCACAAATGAGCTTTCCTGTTCCCTGTTCACTCTGCACCATCACATCCTGACAAAGCAGCTCAGGAAAAGTCATCTGATCACATCCTGACACGGGGTCCTGAGGCAAAGCAGCTCAGGAGAAGTCACCTGGGTGCAGGAGGGGATGGAACCCCAGCGTGGGGCTCTTTACACAGCTCCCAGAGCAGGCTGTGGGGCTGCACAGCATCCACAGTGCTGGAGTCAGTAAGTCAGGAGTCTCTCTGAATCCTTCAGACAGAGATCAGAATGCAAGGACTGAATTAAAGCCTTTGGATGGATTGAAGTATGTGAAGCCACTCACACATGAGGCAGAGGTGAAAGTTTAGGTTTTAGCATGAGTGAGCATGTAAGTAAGTAGATGGAATGAGTAAGTGAGTAAATAAAATGAGTAAATGAGTAGATAGAGCGAGTAAGTAGGTAAATGGAATAAGTTTTAAGTGCTTTTAGTAAGTGAAAGGTCTTAGATGTTGGAGAAGTGGTACATGTTCTAGTGGAGGTTAAAAAACATATTAGTGTTTCCTTGGAGGCTCCAAGAACCCCGCTTCAGACATAATAGAGTTAGAGTTAAGAATATTGCTGACATTTTTCAGATAGAACAAGATAGGCCATGAATGTAGTTTATACATAGCCTGGTGTGCTGAGAACCCAGAATTCCAATAGGTTAAGGAGTAGTGGTCTGAGTTTGTGTCTTAGCTTGTTGGGAAGTTTCTATATAAGAACATGCATGGGGCACAGCTGGTGCAGTTTGCCTTTGCTTTTGCTTTGCTTTGCTTTTGTCCCTGCTCTCTGGCCACCATCACCAACACCCAGAAGAAGACAGGAGCTGCCCAGCTTCACCAGCCCTGCTGGCACCACTGGGAGCAGCTTCTGCTTCTGTTGGGGACTCTAAACCAAAATTTAGCATGGACTTTACTGTCTGTGACTTTTGCTTTGAGACTGATGTGCTTCTGCAATAAATAACTTTATAGCAACTATTAGCTGCTTGGCTTTTTTTAAAAAACCAACCTGACAGTTGGGTGCCTAAGAGCACTTGGAAGACAAAACCTCACACCCAGGACACCAGAAGAAGAGACCAACTCAGGTACCTCCAAAGACTCACTCACACTGCTACAGAATAAAAAATGAGCACTGGGGAGAGAAGTGAGGGAAAGACAAAGAAGAAAAACTTGCTCCCATTGTTTCAACCTTTATTATATTCTTTTGATAAGCACCCCTTGCCCTCCAGAAGTTGGATTTTCCATTACATAAAGTGGAAGGGAAAGAAAAAGAATTATGTGGAATTCACTAGACTTTTTTCAATAAGAGAGCAAAAGAAATATAAGGGCAAATCCAAAACAATTCGTGTTAATATTTCTCAAATTGAAAATGTCAATAATTTTGTACCTTTTAATATTCAATTATACATCATCTCATGGGAAATCAAAACAAAATGTAAAACTGTTTCTTGCTGTCCATAAGAAACAGATCCATCTACTTCAAAATATTTTTCAGGCTTTTCCTTTATAGATTAATCTGGAATTTGGAGAGAAAAGAGGATGAAAAGGAAGCTAATGCTTTGTAGATGGGAGTTCCCATTCTCCAGACAAACTGAGTGGTCAGAACAATCAAATCAATCAGAAATATTAAGATATCCTATTAAGAACAGGTAATTTCAGGAAAAAAAGCACCGGATGATACATTCCTGGTGCTCACTGAAAATCTTCCTTGCCCTTTGGAAAGTGGTGGTTTATTGTAACACATAGGTTTCCATGGCAAACATCTTATTTCAATATAAACAGGGTAGGCTAAAAATGTATCTGCTAGCAGCAGTTAATGCCCAAAGGCTGTGGAGAACACCTTCCTCATTTCAAACTAGTCACAGCTATTTATTATAAACAGATGTTAGAATGGATGCAGAATTGTAAACTCCTTAAATGAGTATCTCATCTACATTCAGCGGGGCACAAAAGCTGAGAAATTCACTGCATTATGCAAATATGCAATTTTTTCCAAATGTATTCCACCTTCTTCTGAATAATTCCCATGAATGTTTACTTAATGTGGCAAACTGCATGAGCAGAAGCATCTTAATTGTATTATTTTGTACAAATCTCCACCTTGTTAGTGCCTGCATCTGCCTTTCTGCTGTAAGATTGGTGCAGGGTAACTGAGCAATAAGAAAAAATGTGGGGTGCTCCACAGGAAGTGGACAGTGAGGATGGAGCAACAATTTTCCTGTTTAACACAGATTACTTTGGAGGACTGAAAGGGAAGAAAAAGCCCCAGAGGGTCACAAGTGAGATTCATGCCTTGTCTTTCACTTATTTTGCAAAATACACACAAAGAATTATATGATTAATTTAGCTTCACGTGAATAATAACAAAAAAAGAAAATTACAGTTCTCTTTCTCTATTCTTGTGTATGGGGCAACCACAGTTTGCAAAAGCCAACACAGCAAATTGGTTATGGAAGAATTATTAAAATACAGACCTTCCCATTATTAGTTCAGCATCACACCAATTGAACCATGTCACATTCCGCAGGTAACAACACTGATTTTATTTCTGTTTGTAAAAGTACCAGAGAAAATAGGATGTGCTCAGTTTAGGGCAGTGGGCTTAAATTTCTCTCTCAGAGATTTTCACTTACAGCTCCAGAAATCACAGAAAGCACTTTTAATTCGCACTTTTGTACACAAAAAGCCCACAGCAGGCAGAGCGATTACATGCAGATTAAATAAAAAAAACAAACAAAAAAAAACCCCAACCAAACAAAAAAAAAAACGCCAAAAATCCCCCCCAAAACAACAAAAAGGAGCTTCCACAACTCTCCTAGACATAAACAGCAACCAAGTTCTTTAGCTTCATGGATGAATGGCTAAATTGGTTTGGGAAGTCAGCAGTTCAAGAATTAATTGAGGATAGTTTCCCAGTTTACTCTTCAAAACTTGTCTGCCTTTTTAATCATCACAGACTTGTTTTTCCTTGCCACTTTCTTCCCTAACCTGGAAAGTTTTGCTCGTTGATGAAGAGCCACATTCTGCTTCTCTCCAGATGAAACACTGGCATTTCTGAGCAGAGCAGCACCATCCTGGGCAGCTGAACCAGACCCAGATGACACAGCCCCAACTAAAGAGGGGATTTCTGCTCCACTTCCATCATTCTGCTCACTGCTGGCAACAACAGACACCAGTGGTGGAAAAGGACCAAGAAACCAAGCAGAATATTTAATATAGGAGCCATTTTCAAGCAACAAATTCATCCCAGCAATCAAGACTGCAGGATGGAAATAAGATAATGAGGGAAATACTTGAAGAGATGAAACAGCCAAATAGCCTGAGAAAAGGCTCCCAATGAGAAGTGTTGTTTTGTTAGTGCATTTCATCATCAAAGAGACAAAAAAAAGCTGAATTAGGCTCATAATCATCGTTGGCCTTTACACACAGTAAGATTTAGTGGGCTTGTAAATGCATGGTTGATTACTTTTATTTTTTAATCTGCTGTTACCACTGTCAACATTTCAGCTGGTTTGTGCTCCTGTCTGACTGCAGTACCTAGAGCTGGTCAAACGCTGCCAAACTCTGTTTACAGAAAGGGTTCATGAATTCTAAGCAGCTGTTTGGTTCAGCCGTGTTTGTGCCCCGCGTTGTTCATGAATATTCAAGAAAACATGTTTTGTTTGCACAAATGGTTGGGGAGCTGTTCCTGGATGAATATATTCTCATGCAAACAAAGATATATTCCTGGGGGAGCCAGAGTGTTTGCTAATTCACCACTAACTCCTTGTTTAAAAAGTTTGGGGCATTTAGTCAGAAATCAGAACCACTGTGACCTGACTCAATTAACCAGCTGGATGCCACCACACACGAGCAGCAAACGTAAAAAGGGAACAAAATTCAGGTATGGCAAGTAAAGATTTGAGCAAAAAAATCTAAGGGAAAAAAGAATCAAAGTCTTTTGTGAACAGAATAAGAGAACTAAACAGTGACTACTGGTCCAAATGGATGAACAGCCTGGTACTCATGATGCATCTCCATTTGAAATCAGGTAACCATTGTTGATAGCATATTTAAGAAAGGGAAAAAAAAAACCAAAACCAAGCTAGGCTAGCAGATGTTCTCCTTAAAACTCCTGCCTTAAACGAATCTATTTTTGCATTACATATGGCACAGGAATCTCTTTTTCCTTTAATGTTTCTTCCAGCAGAAAAAGCAGATAAATGATGTATCAATGAATCTCACTTAAAGATGAGTCAGCTGTAACAAACGTGGGCACTGGTGCCAGGCACAGAACACACAGCAGTGGTGGGATTGGGCTGCCTGGGCTGTGCTGTGTTTAGCCAGTCACAAACACCTTCTGGCTGTTCTGAGAGTTCAAACACTCAGCCAGGATTAATTTAACATATTGGGAGTTCAGTCTGGGGAGGATCCCGTGGAGCTTCAGACAACAACCTCAGGAGTTGGAAAACAGAGGGGATGGAGTGCCTGAATTGGTAGGATTCCTTCATGAGTTTTTCTGTGAGGGAAACTGGACTGGGGAGAGAGAGAGAGGCAAAACACACACTGAGGCTATTAATTATGTAGGTGCATTGCTCATTAGCAAATGAGTACGTTGTATATTTCAATAAATACAAAGGCAGTGGGACAGCAATGTAAATCAAATATCAGAGAGCAGTAGCACACAGCTCTGACCCTGGCTAGGGTGGCTCCTTCCTGGAGGTAAAACCAACAGGTTTTATTTCCCATGGTTTCAGGAAACACTCCTAAGACTGGCTTTAGCATGTTAATCTGTTGCTAAGAAGAAAATGAGTGCACATAGTTCATGTCCACTATTCTTTCTGTTCTCCACAGTGTGCAAAATTTCTGGAGATTTTGGGTAATGACAGAAAGGAGCAAACCCCACATTACATCATTTTTAGAACGGCACCGATTTATCATCACATAAACATTATTATCTCAACGTTGCTCAACTTGTAATGACTTTGAAAATTACTGCTTTTAAGATACTAATCAGGTTGTTAGGGAAGTAGAATTAACTACACAGAACATATCTATGGTACAGTAATGTAAAGCCTTTCTTGCCCCACAAAGCCCTTTTCTATTTCTCTTCCCTCATGCCAGCAGCTGTACATTGTGATATCCTCCTGGCCAGAGGGAAACTTCGAAGAGCATTACACAGCTCTGCAGAAAACCCTCCTGCTGGCACATATCTGACTGGTACTACACCCAGCTAAAAATTATCTGACAGAAGTTAATTAATATTCTAGCTTCTGCAATTAGATAATGTTATTCACACCTAGGGACTCGAAAGCACATACATATTGAGCAGAAATTAATATTTATGCTTATAAACATAATTATTCTGAAACATGAAAAAAAGATATGAAGATATTATTTGATTATTGACCTAACAAGACCCAGCTCAAAAGCTAACTACTTCACATATTTCAGGGCATGGATTTAATTTGTGAGGAAGATGGGATTTACCATCTCATATTATAAACCAGACAATTTAGCTTAAGTACTGTTCAAAATGCCCCATCCTTTAAAGCATAGAAAGTATTTCAGCCTCAGAAATGATAAGTATTCTTCCTCAGGGTAGGCACTTTTATTAGTTTATTCCTTCCCAGGCACTCATCTTGGAGAATTGTACCCATTTACAACAGACTTACTTCCTTTTTGGCTTGGGGAATAACTGGACAAGATTTTCCAGCTTTTTATCCAGCTCTGGCTGGAGGGATTCAGCCTCTGCAGCTTCCATGCAGTGGAGAGCAGGGTAGTGCTGTTAATTTCATGATACTGCAGTGGGGAACAAAGAATTTCCCTTTCCCCTTTCCCTGCTGCCAGGACAGGAGAACAGAGCCATTCCTGCTAGGAAGTCCTGGACACCCCCAAAATCAACCCTGGCTGACCAAAAACCCTGCCTAGGGGAGCTTTTGGTGCTCTTAGCAAATTTTGTATTGTGGGAAACACTGTCAAAGGACAACGAGACTCTTTTGAGGAGTTGAGGAGGCCACTTGTGAGCCAGGAAATCAATCCCCCAGTCCCAATGTGGTTTTTTCCTCTTTCAGCCAACCTCCCTCTATTCCACTGCAACAACGGGATGCTTCACCTGTGCCAACATCCTCTTTTGAAATCCTGCCTGGAACGTTTGCTAGCAGCCTGCCCAAAACAAGAAAGGGACAGCAAGAAGCTTTGTGAACAACTGTGAGAACACAAAGCACCTGCAGAGCCCTGGCCACAGAGCACAGGGGCAGAGGGAAGAGCTCTGGCCCTGCACCTTGGGGTCCTGTGCATTGCAGGCTCTCCCTGCAGCTGGGTTCATCCCAACACCTCTGTCCGTGCTGCTCATCTGGCAGCAGGAAGGGTCTGAACCCTCATGAAGCCCCTTCTTCAAAAGAGTGACTTCACCCAGCCACCTCCTCCTGTGACATCCCCAGCTGCTGATTGTCCCTGAGACCCTTTCTGCCAGCTGGGCTGGACCCACTCAGTGTGCTCAAATCAGGGAGGAGAGGAGTGGGGCATGAAGGAAGAGACAAGTATTGGTCCTTTAGGAAATAAGGCTAAAGATGGAACTCTTGCCATAATAGGAGGAAATAGATTTTCTACTCTTGTAGTAAATAAAGTGTTCTTCACAGGATGAAGAATAGCAGTATCAATTTCTATTTTAACAAATTCAGTTCCAGGAGATTTAATTTTTTATCCAAAGACACACCAGAGAAAATTAAAAGCCATTGATCTTGTTCACCTATCTCCCTTGCTTTTCCCACCTCCCTCCCAGTTTCACATTTCCAGCACTTACTGGGAGAAATAAACAGTCATTAAGGCAGCACAAGAATCCACTGGTCTGGCAGCATCTTATTTCCTAAAAGGAAGCCCATCAAAGCAACCTTTGATAGGCAACAGAGCACGCACCTCCCAACCCTCAAAGCTTTCATTTTTTGGGAAAGCTGCAGCTCTGCATCCTCCTCAGCCCTCTTTAACTCCAGGATTCAGGCATGTGCAGACTCGAATTTATTCCCTAGGTCTCCCTGGGTCATGTTTAGTTTGATCTTGTTACCCACTTACAGCAGATAAGAGGTTTGAGGATTTCTTTTTAGTTTTTCTCTCTCAACTGACTCATCCCAAAGAAAAACAATGATTTGTTTCTCTCACTCTTTTAATGAGCTGCTCGCAAGAAGGATGGTTTTCAGTTTTTTAAAGTAAAAAAGTAGCAGAAAACAGGGAAGGATGTCCCACTTTTCCAACCAAAAATCAGACTGATTTAAGCACTAATACAAATTTAGAGGAGCCGACCCTATAACAGAGCTATTTTCAATTTTATCTCTTGAATTGCACAAGAATGCAGTTTTAATAATTTCTTTCTGAAGTTCCTTTATCAAAAAGAAGTGTTGTTGTCATGGAATGCCTGCTCATTTAGGTAACTGCTTTGTGTACATTTCTTTTTCGTTTTTCCCCATCCCTAACAGAAACCTCAATTATAGCACTGAACATTTGGGCAAGATCTCAAATTAACTGGAATACATATCCTTAGAGAAATCAGCTGTGCATAATGAAGTTCATGACAATACTGGAAAAACGTCATCCAGCTGAGTAAGTTTTTTGCATTTTGTGGTATTTTTTATCTCCCTCTACTTGTTCCTATGAACATGTCAAGATATTCCTTTATCAGATAAGGGGGAAAATGGGCCAGGTTGATGATAAATTCCTTACACACCAAGTTGGTGATAAAAATGATACAAGAAAAGTCTGAGGATCAGATTTCTTTTTCTTGGAAACTGAGCTGGATCGTATTAGTCCAGCTGATTCCATATGAACCTGAGAAACTCCTGTGATGCCATTAAATCAAATTATTCCAGATTCTGGCAATAACAACCAAAAAAAAAACCTTATATGCAGTTCAAGTGAAGAAGGGGATGATGGGCAATGTCTGTTCTGCTTTTACAGTGGATTTTTAATGAGGGCAGTTCACTGGGAGATCCTGTGATACAAACAGCAAAGCGTTTTTAAACTCTCAGCTAAAAGAGAATTCCGGTTGCACATTTGCCCCAGAAAGCTTTAGGGATTCTTGTAACCAGCCTAAAATTATTTTATTTTCCATTACTCTGAATTATTTTGAATATTTTATACTGCAAAGGTGAAATGTTTCATTTTGCAGCTCGATAGTAGGGAAAATATCATGTTAATTAATTGTTAAAAGTGAATATAAAATTCTAGTTGAGATTAAAAGTTACATTTTTTTTTTCTAAATTATATTTCCAGAATATGGCTGGAAAGAATTTGCATATTCAGGAGAAGGCAAATGTAA